TTCTGGTTTGGGAACAATTTGCTCCTTTTCAGTAAGGATCATCTCAATATGGCATGGGAGCTCATGTATGGATTAATCCGGCCATGAGCTCTATAAGTATGGCGGCGTGTCTTGGGTGCTTTGTTCACCTGGACATGTTCAATAACCAGAGAATCTACATCTAAACCCTTAAGTTCAGCATTACTCTCTGCATTTTTAAGCATGTGCTGCAAAAATTCAGCACTCTTTTTGGGCCACTGACCCTGTGTCCAGCCCCACTGTTTGGCCTGGGCATACCTACCAACTCCACCATTGTAACGCCGGAATGGTACACCTTGCTTCATTAATGTGACATCCTTGAAATACTTGGTGGCTTTTTGGATATGCATACCCTTGATGGCCTGGGCAGTTTCACGCATGTTCTTAAAGTGAATGCGAAGATTTGAGCCTCTTGATTTGCATGATTTTGTGGGGTTTTCTGGGTCAAGAGAGTAGGGAACCATTTTTACAGGTCACCTAAGGCTGCTCACAGGAAGAGCCCTATTTCTGCTTTTTGAGACAGGTTCTTGCTCTGTAATTCAGGCTGGCTTTGAACTCACTATGTAGCCCAGGCTAGCCTCAAACTCACAACAATCCTCCTGTCTCAGGCTCCCAAGTGCTGGAGTAACAGGAGTGCGCTGCCATGCTTCACCAGTCTTTTAGGAATCTCTAGCCCTGTTTCCCTTTTTCCATGGCTGCCATGGTTGTTTTTCACAACTGTAATGTCAAGGACTTTGGTTTTAAGGAACTTGGAAGAGAATAGAATTAGGATAAACAAAAATTTTCCAAGCTTGCTTTTCTGAGATTCAGATTTCCCTTGAAGAAACACCTTGGATTATTGAGCATATATTTCATTTCCAAAGTTCCAAAAGGGTTTTTATATTTTTTGGCAGTGTTATCCTTACTCTTGTGGTTGACTGGATTTGCAGCTGACCTTACTTTGCCATTTTGAAATTGTCCCTGTTATCCTCACCCCAAATTTAGTTGTAAAAAGCTTTACCCTGAAAATGAGTTGGGCATGGTAGGCTTCATTAGTTTTTTTTTTTTTTTTTTTTTTTGGCAGAACCAGGGATTGAACTCAGGCTGTTGTGCTTGCCAGGGAAGCGCTTATTCCACTGAGCCATCTCCTTGCTTCCCCCTTTTTTTTTCAAGCAGCTCCTTACTGGATTTTTTCTTGCCACTCAACGTATGTGTATATATAACGAAAAATTTTTTAATAAGCAAAAAAATTACCCATATTGCTGTATGTGCATATATTATAAACATTTGTTTCTCTAGTCTTTTAGTTATTGTACTTTATATTTAATTTACTTTTTAAGTTGAATCTTACAGTGTGACTGATAAGGCATAAAGGTTAGCATATTGCATATGGAAATCTTTCCAGTTTGGTAAATATCATATTGCATCATTACTTAAATGCCTCCATATTATCTTTTTTTTTTTTTTTTTTTTTGCAGTACTGGGGATTGAACTGAAGACCTTGCACTTGTCAGGCAATTGCTTATTCTACTGAGTTATCTCCCCCCCCCCATAGTATCTTATCATATGGATTTGTTGCACTTTAGTGAATTTCCCATTTGGGAGCATCTTTTTTGTTTATTTTCTGATAGTTTTAAATGGTGTTCTTTTTTTATTTTGTATTTAAGACAGGGTCTACAGGGTCTCACTGCGTAGATCAGACTCATAGTGATCCTCCTGTTTTCAGCCTCCCAAGAGCTGGGATTACTCGTGCCACCACACCCAGTCTCAATTACCATCTCAGTGTGCCCTGGGGGCACGGCCACCTCAGTTGGCCCTGGGATCTAAATCGCAGTTTAGGCAGGCACTTTAATCCACTCAGCTATTTGGCTGGTCCTAAGTGGTGTTCTGATGAATGTTGTAACGGTCTGCTTATAACTGTATATCCTTCTAGAAACTACTGGGAAAAATTAGTAAGTTTATGACTTAAAAATTCATTTTCTAGTTTTAGCTGTTCGGTGTGATTGCATAAAACACATGTTGGAATCATAAGTAGACAGCTTTTTCAGATTGTCTTTTTCTTGGTAATATGTGCTTACAGTTCTTTGTTTTTTAGTGGTTTAATAATTCATTTTTTTTAAAGCAGTGAATAATGCTTCATTGGCTGTATCACAATTTATACATTTACCTATCGAAGCACTTTACTTCCATATTTTAGCATTTATTTATAAAGCATATGTAAATTTTTGTGTGGACATAAATTTTCAGTTCATTGAGGCAAATGCCAAAGAGTACAATTGCTGATTGTATGATAAACCTATCTTTAGTTTTGTAACCATGCCTAGTTAAAAACAATATATTGGAAGCAAAACTATCCTTGTATTATACCTTTCTCAGAATAACAGTGACTGGATTAACACAATACTGCACTTATCTTAGCTCACGAATGGGGTTAGGAAGCTTTGAAAAATTCCTCTATGTAACCTGGCGCTGCATTCAGGTGCTGCATGAATGGGAAATTAAAAGGGCTTTATTTGACCCAGCTCAGTGTTGAAGGGCTACCTCAGTCTACAGAAACCTGGAGAGTATTTTTTTTTTTTCTCTTGGTATTTTAGGAAATCTTTTTCAAAACACTGTAGTAGTTAACAGGTAGTTAAAATAACACAGACCCAGTAGGCAGTTACTAAGCAATGAAAATAATAGCAAGTACATCAAACTTCAGAAGAAGTGGAAAAATCTTTAGTGTTCTCTTTTCAACAAAAACTGAGGCATACAAAGAAGCAAAGTGTGGCATATTTATAGGGAATTTAAAAAGTACTGTACTTCTGAGGAAACCTAGGTATTAGACTTGGCAGAGATTCAAATGCATTTTAAATTTGCTCAGCAGACTAAAGGAAAGCATGGATGAAGATTAAAGGAAACTTGGAGGGCATGTAAAAAATATAAAGACATAACATAGAAATCATAGAGCTGAAAAGTATATTAACAAAGGAAGAATTGACTATAGTTTTCATAACAGTTTTGAACAGGTAGAAGAAATTATCCATTCCAGGAGGAGCAGAAAGACAAAGGAACAGAAGGTAGATGAACAGAGCTTTTGAGATCTAGGAACACTGTTTCAGGATGCCAGTGTGTAGACAGTGGGAGTCTGAGAAAAAGAAAAGAATGGTTTGGAAAGAATAGTTGAGAAGTAATAGCCTAAATCTTTCTAGATTCAATGAAAGAGTGAATTCCAAAAGGATTGAGAAGCTCAAACTTCAAGTACGGTTGAGTAAAAAAGGCCAGGCATCATCACATACACCTGTAAGCCCGGCACTTAGGAGGCTGAGGCAGGGGGATTGTCATGAGTTCAAGGCCAACCTGAACTACGTAGTCATACTCTGTGTTTAAAAATAAGTGTGGGAGCTAGAAGTAAGGTAGTGAAATTTGTGTAGCATTCATGTATGACATCCCATTCCATTATACATAGATTCATTAAAATTATGACTTTAGGTTTAGTTTATCTCTAAAAGAAGCTAATGATGGTACCTATGTGACAGTCCATGTAGAGTTTAGCATGTGGTGTTACAGGCCTTATAGGTCACCTGACATGAAATGTTATTATGGGGTCCAAATTTGTACATTTCAGAGATGTAGACTGTCAAATCCTAGATTGTGAAAATCATTACCTTTTAAAGTTTACAAGAGGTATTTAAGATATATGAAATTAATTGCAGAGTAGTTTATTATACTGCAGAGTTTTATGGGTTAATGAACAAGTAAGTTTAGGGAAGTTTGGTAATCATGACTGGTAGAACAATGATGTCTGTGACTTTGAAGCTATAAAGTTTTCTCATGAACTGAGGTTTTTTTAGACTAAGGCAGAGATCAAAGTATGAGAACGAGAAGGGTGTGTGTATGTGTGTGTGTGGGGTAGTTGAAGAATATATTACTGGGGGTTAGACCCAGGCTTTCACACTGAACTAGATCCCAAGCCCTTTGAATTTTTTTTTTGAGATGAATTTTTTTTTAAAAAATTTCTGGCCAAGTTGCTTGAATTTGGAATCTTCCTGCTTCAGCCTCCTAGTGTATTGGGATTATAAGTATATACCATAACATCCTTCTTACACTCGTGCATGCTGTCTTCTTTGAGACAGGGTTTTCCTATGTTTTTCAGGCTGCTTTTGAGCTTAGCATGTAGTCCAGGTGCATCCTCTTGTCTCAGCCTTCTGAGTTCTGGAATTAGAGCTATACAACACCACACCTGGCTCTGCATTTGTATTCTTAAATTACTTAAGCAGTTAGATAGTGCTTAGATATTACTTAGATAGTGAATCACTTAATCAGATTTGACACTTGGGATTTGTATCATGAAATAAATTTTTGAACTCTTGGCAGGTTTTTTTTTTTTTTTTAGTTGTAGGACATTTTCAGTGTTTAAGAAGAAATTAGTTCTAGCCACATTGAGGAGTTTCATAGATGAATGAAACCCAGATTCTCTGGATAAAAGATTCTAAGATAAGCCAATAGTAAGTTGCAAATCTCAGTAACAGTATCTGCTTTCATACACAGGGAAGACATTTTCCATGTCATCCCTTTAATTTGTGCATCTTAGTCTCGTGCTGGGTAAGACTAATGTGTTTTTTTTTTTTTTTTTGCGAAACTGGGGATTGAACTCAGGCCCATGCGCTTGCCAGGAAAGCGCTTATTCCACTGAGTCATCTCCCCGGCCTAATGTTTGTTGAATGCAAGCTGCTGTCCCACAAAGGCACAGGGATTTGCAGGCTGTCATCTCTGCTTTCCTGACTCCTGAGGGAGTGAATCTGTCCCTAGCATAGACTAATCCTTTGGTTAAATTTTCTAGTTAAGTGGGATCCCCTTCCCACCACTGGGATTACAGGTGTGTGTGAGTCACCATTGCCTGCACAGGGTTCTGGGGCTGGCTCAGCATGTACTGGGGATTGAACTGATCTTGTTCTTGCCAGCCAGGCGCTTAGACCTTTGAGCTACTTCCCCAGTCCCTGTCTTAATATTTTATAAGGAAGCCTATTTTCTTTTTCTTTATTAATTTCATGTGTTTGGTACAGGGTCTCAGTACGCAGCTTGGACTCGTAGTGATCCTCCTGTTTCAGCCTTTCTAGCGCTGGGATTACAGGTGTGTGTCACCACGTCCAGTCTTGATGGCCAGCTCGGTGTGCCTAGGGTGGGCATAGCATGTGGTACTGGGGATCAAACCCTGGTCCTTGTGTTTGCCTAGTTAGGTACTTAGACTGCTGAGCTATCTCCACGGCCCAGGAAGCCCATTTTCCTACATATGCTATAGGTAGTTAAGAATTGTTCCTTTTTTTTTTTTTTAAAGAGCAGAAAGCTTCTGTCTGAGAGGGACAGAAGGGGAGCTCCAGTGGGTTGTCCCCCTATTTCTTCTGTTTTAATGAAAGTGATGGACTTTTCCATGTTTCTGGGGAACATGGAGCAAGGTTTTCATATTGTGTTATGTGCTCTTAATTTTTAAGACTGAACATTTCGTGCCTTTCTTCCCTTTGCAGGCAATGCATGAACCACTGCAAACTTGGCAAGATGCGCCATACATTTTTATTGTACATGTTGGAATTTCATCCTCAAAGGAGTCATCAAAAGAAAATTCACTGCGTAATCTTTTTACCAGTAAGTGCATTTCTTTCTTTCTTTCTTTCTTTCTTTCTTTCTTTCTTTCTTTCTTTCTTCTTCTTCTTCTTCTTCTTTTTTAGAGATTTATTTATTTATTTGGTACAGGGTCTCATTACGTAGCTTGTACTTAATGGTAATCCTCCTGTCTCAGCCTCTCCAGTGCTGGGATTATCAACATGCACCACCATGCCCAGTTTCATTGTCTGGCACAGTGCTCTGGGACCAGTGTGGCCTGAGGTACTAGGGATCGAACCTGGGTTCTTGTGCTTGCTAGGCATGCACTTAGACTGCTGAGCTATCTTCTCAACCCAGTTCATTGCTTTCTTAACTTTTTCGTTATTTCCTATTAGTGTCATACATGGCAGATAGTGTAAAATTGCTTTACATGAATGAATAATTTAGTAAGAATATTTTTGTGAAGTAGAAAAATTAGAGGAAAATAATTAACGTCTTTCTGCATTCATTATTACTAGACACTTCCCAGGTACTTCATGCATACATGCTTCCTTCTGAAGTATTCCACATTCCAAATTGTGTTTTCTTCCTTCTATTAAAAGTTTTTAATTATTATGTTCTTAGCATTATCTGAACTAGATAAATTTTTTTTTTTAAACAACTTTTTTTTAAAATTTTTTATTTATTTGAGAGAGAGAGAGAGAGAGAGAGAGAGAGTGTGGGGTGTGTGTGTGGCCAGCTCAGCCCACCAGGGGGCGGGGCTGGCTGGCATGTGGTGCTGGGGGATTGAACCGCGGTCCCTGATGCCTTGGCAAGCTTGTTCCAAGTAGGTGCTTTAGACCACTGAGCCATCTCTCCAGCCCCTGAACTAGATAAAATTTGATGAGAATCAAGTGTGGTAGGGCAAACTTATCATCCCAGCACTCAGAAGGCTGTGGCAGGAAGATCACTGCCAGTTCAAGGTTAGCCTGAGTGGTATAGTGAGGTCATTGCCTGTCTGAACTACGTGGGAAGACCTCGGTCTCAAAACAAACAAACTTGGTTACCAAGTCAAAAATTATTAACATTGATACTATTTTGATGTCTCAACCTTTTGTTTTAATGTGTTCTCCTGTTTTTGGAGTCATCACATGTACATAAAGTACTTTGATTGTATTTTCTGTTTTTGTTCTACCTTGCAGAACAAAAACCTTCTTTTCTCAGGTAGAATATTGAGTAGAAACTGACAGTAGCCGTCATTGTCTTTTCCTGACTTCATTGGAAATATTTGTACATTTGCCATAAGTGTGATGTTTACTGTAGATACTAAAAAATACTTTTCTTTAGGTCTGGGGATATAGCTCAGTGTCACAAGCGCTTACCTATCAAGTATAAGGTCCTGAGTTCAATTCCTGGTACCGAAAGAAAATTCTATAAAAATACTCATTTGGTTAAGAATGTTCTTTTCAGGGCCTGGGGAGATGGCTCAGTGGAATAAGCACTTTCCTGGCAAGCGCAAGGGTCTGAGTTCAATCCCTGGTTCCGCAAAAAAAAGAAAAAAAAAAAGAATGTTCTTTTTCTTTTTGCTTTTTCTTCTCCTCTTCCTCTTTTTTTTTTGCACATACTAGGCAAGAACACTGTTACCTGGTCATATTCCTAACCATCCTTTTAAAAAAATACAAAGAAGTGATGCTGTTTTATCAAGTCATTTGATTGTATTGATTAAAATTAGCCTTTTTAGGGCCAGGAGATGGCTCAGTAGAATAAGGTCTGGCAAGCACAAAGACCTGAGTTCAATCCCTGGTTCCGCAAAAAAAAAAAAAAAAATTAGCCTTTATAGTTTAATATGTTAAAGTGGCACATTATTAATTGGCTTCTAATTCTAAATTTTTCTTGAAGCCTGTGCACGCCTATAATCCCAGTGCTTGGGAGGCTGAAACAAGATTGATGTGAGTTTGAAGTCAGCCTGGGTTATATGCTGGTAGTAAATTCATAAACTACATAGCACACTCCTATCTCAAAACAGGCAAACAGACAAGAAACTATCCTTAGATTTCTTGGGTGCCTGGTACTTGGTCTTGATAAATACCCATTGCATCTCCACACTCTCTATAGCTATATGCCCATTGCTGAGTTCTGTTAGTATTTGGTCAGGGTTGTCTGTCTTATGATCAAAGAAAGATTGGCCTGTAATTTTTTTTTCTCATACTGTCTTCTTTTGGTTTTGGTTATGTTAATGTCATACAATGAGCTGGAGCATATACCCTTTTAAAATATTCTTTGAAACAGTTTTTTTAAGACTAAGGTTATCCAGTTCTTGAGTGAATGGTAGAACTTGCCTGTCATACTGTTTTGACCTCATGCTCTTTTAAAAAAAATTTTTTCTGTGGAACTGGGGATTGAACTCAGGCCCTTGCACTTGCCAGAGAAGCGCTTATTCCACTGAGCCATCTCCCTGGCCCCGCTCATGCTCTTTTTGTCCACTCTCTCTTTTTTAAAATTTTTTTGCTCCCGATGCCTTCAGAGCAGGTTTGGCTGGCTTGAGTTGTGGGGATCGAACCACAGCAACCTGAGCCTGACTGCTTTGTTGAAGCAGCCACTTAAAAGAACTGAGCTAAGGGACAGGCCCCCCAAAGTGGCAGAAGGATTTTTTTTTTTTGGCTCCGAATACCTTCAGGGCAGGTTTGGCTGTCTTGAGTTGTGGGGATTGAACCACAGCAACCCGAGCCTGACTGCTTTGTTGAAGTAGCCACTTAAAGAACTGAGCTGGGATTACAGGCACGTACCACCATGCTCAGTCTCAATTCTTGTCTCAGCACGCCCTGGGGGGTGGAGCTGGCACTGCATGCTGGGGATTGAACCCTAGCCGCTGCGCTCTGCCTAAGCAAGTACTTAGTCCATGAGCTATCTGGCTGGCCTTCATTTTTTATTTAGTATTTTATTGTCTTTTTGAGACAGAGTCTCTGTATGCAGTTCAGGCTGGCTTTGAACTCACTTTGTAGCCCAGGCTGATTTTGAACTTGCTGTGATCCTCATGCCTCAGCCTCCTGAGTGCTGGGATTACAGGTATGTACCACCATGCCTGGTCTGTTTTGTTTTTTGAGACAGAGTCACAGTGTAAGTTCAGGGCTGGCAAGATGGCTCAGTGGACTAAGTGCCTACTTAAGCAAGTACATGGACTGGGGTTCCATCCCCAGCATCACATGCCACGCTGTCCCTGCCCACTGGGTGGGCTGGGAAGACAGAGACCAGGCATGGTGGCACATACCTGTAATCCCAGTTCTGGGAGGCTGAAACAGGATTACCATGAGTCCGAGCACTGTAGTGAGACCCTGTACCAAATGCATTAAAAAAGAGAAACACAGTGGAAGTTCAGGCCTGCCTTGAACTCACTATGTAGCTTAGTCTGGCCTTGAACTCAAAACAGTCCTTCTGCTTCACCTTCCAGAGTGCTGAGAACGTGAGTGTATGCCACCATACCCAGCAAGATTTCTGATTATTGGCAAAGTTATTCTTGATATTTCTTTATAAAAGTCTATGGTATTTGTAGATTTTCTAATTCTTAATATTACTGTTTTTTAATTTATTAAATCTTTTGAGAATTTTTAATTGTGTTTTTATATCAGTGAATATAAATTGTTGTTAGTTTCCTGACATTTTTTTAACTTCCTTAATTTATTTTATTTGGCACCTTTTAAACTTTTCTTTTTGATTCTGGTGTTAAATGTTTAACTCCTAATTCAAATGGGTCTTGTGCCCCATAGTGGGATAGGGGGTACCAGGTCTCAGCAAGCCAGTAGGCAGTCTGGCACATGTCTGGCCCCTGAATATATGTGTGCCTCTTCTTTTCTAGGGCTATGGCTGATTCATCGATAAAACAGTCAGGAGGCAGTTACTGGCATTTATTATTGGCCTTTTTTAATTTTTATTTAAAGGAAGAGAAGTCCTGCTCCATTTTCATTCAGCCTCTTTATGCACTGAATTTTTTTCCCTTTTTCTTTGAATCCTACTAATTTCAGCACTCTCCTAAGAACTGCACTTAGAACTACCATGGCCTGCTCTTGGACCAAATCCAGCATGAACTTTGATTTAGCTCTGTATGTTTTTCTTTTTTATATTTTATTCATCTATGGTTTAGAGCTGAGGAGGTACATTAACTGTACCATCTGAAAGTACTAAAAGTACCTTTCTAAAACAATTTTATATTCTTTTCGCTAAAAGAATATAATTTGTTGACTCCTCAGTGCCTATAAAATGTTCACATTTTACAGCAAGATTTATAAAACAAAACTCTTTACAATGTTTTGCAGTTTTCTTTTTGTTGCCATATGTCAACATACTACTGTATGGTACTATGTACAGCTTAGACTAAATTTTTTGAAATATACTGCACTTTAAAAACTCACAGTGCTGAGGATTGAACCTGGGTTTTGGACATACTGGGCAAGCACCATACCATGAACTACATCCCCTGTCAAAACTCTGTGTTTCTGTCTGGAAAGTTTTTTAATTTGTCTTGCAAAGTACATACTTGGCCTTTTGAATCTGCCTTAGAAATGGTTGTCTGGTAGGTCCCAACTCCCTTTCCCTGCTAGGTGGTAATCCACTAGATGTCAGAAAACATCTTACATTTCTGCCTAGATGCCTGACCACCTGCCTGCCCACCTGCTTGCCCATCTCCCTCCCTCTCTGTCTTTCTCCCTCCCTCCTCTCCCCTCCCTTTCTTCTTACTTTTTTTTTTTTTAACTTTCTTTTGCTTTTTCTTAAATCACAGATCATTCTTTTTTTATTGCAGCTACCCAGCTCCATTATAATGGTGCAGGGCAGCTATAGACAAACTATGAATGAATGGATATGTCTGTGTTGCAGTGAAACTTAGTTTATAAAATAAAAGTGGCTAGAATTGGTCTGGGTGGTATATTTTTGCTAGACTCTGGCATACAGTAAGCAAAATATGTGTTGCATATTCACTGCTGTCTTAATTTTCTTATTGCTGAGACAATGTACCTGATACCCAAAGTTAAAGGAACAAAAGTTTATTGTAGCTCAGTTTATAGAGTTTTCAATCCATAGTTGGCTAGCTCCAAGACAGTGGCATGGTGGGGGGTATCACAGGAGAAACAGTCCACCAGGCAAGTAGAAGGCAGCAAGCAGCAACAGCAGCAAGCAGCAACAGCAGCAAGTGACAAAGGCAGGCCTCTTGGTGTTCCTTAGAGTCTGTGTAGGCTCTCAGCTTTTGGGAGGGTAGCACTTATTCCCATAGGACCCTTAATCCTAACATTGAATCAACCCCATGAATCAACCTCAGCATCACACACTAGATCCAGCCAGCAGTAAAAAAAACTCCCATTTGTGATTCCATGAGGCTTTGCGGGGGGCATCTAGATATAAGTCATAACAACTTGTTCTTTTGTTAAGTTAGCAAAATCTTTAGATTTAATAACCATTTCTCTGAAATTTTTTGATTGGTATTACAGGTCCTTTTTTATTATTTGATTTGGTTTACTTTTAACAATATTACATCCTTTTGGCATGATAAACGCTAGGAGGAAAATTTTCATCAAGTGGCAATTATATGTCTTTCTCAAGATAGCATCTTTCAAGTAAATCAGATTTTTATTAATCATATGAAGAAACGGCCCAGATACTTTTATTAGGTACCGTCTTAAATTTTTTTTCTATTTTATTTTAAAAGCAAAATAAATTTCCAAACAAGGTAATAGAGTAACAATGATCAATGTGTGTTATCTTTAGTTACACTATAAGATATAGGCCTTGTACAGATTTAGCACAACCTCTTCAATGAACTGAATTAATAGGATAGTGATCTTAACTATCATATATATATATGTGTGTGTGTATATATATATATATATATATATATATATATATGTATGTATGTATATGTATATATATTTGCTTTTCCCTTTTCTCCTTTAACCCATCCCAATTTCTCTTTCCTTTTGAACAGTTTCTTCCCATTTTACAGTATCTTGTGTACATTTAGCATCTTAATTACTTTTTCAGCTTCTCACACTAGGAAGACAATATAATGTTTTACACATGTGAGTCTGATTTATTTCACTCATGCATATATTCTCAAGTTGCATCCATTTACCTTAAAGTTCTCAAGTTTATCCTTTATGGCTGAGTAGTACTCTATTGTATAAAAAAAAAAAAAAATCACACTTTTTTAATGTGTTCCTCTGTTCATGGGTATTTGTGTTGTTTCCAAGATCTTGCTGTTACAAATTGTTACAATGCTATAAACACAGGTGCACATATATCACTTTGGAATGATGCTTTTAATTCTTTTGGGAAGATACCCAAAAGGGAACAGCAGGATCAAATGGAACCTCTAATCTTAGTTTTTGGGGTATTTTTTTGGTTTTTCTTTTAGCGGAACTGGGGATTGAACTCAGGCCCTTGCGCTTGCCAAGGAAGCACTTATTCTATTGAGCCATCTCCCTGACCCCTCAAATCCTAGTTTTTTGAGAAATCTTTGCACTGATTTTCACAGTGGTTGCACCAGTCTGTGCTCCCAACAGTGGAGAAGGCTTCGTTTTCCTCCACAACCCCTCCAGCATTTGTTACTGGTTGATTTCTTTCTTTCTTTCTTTTTTTTTTTTTCTGGTTGATTTCTTGATAGCCATTCTTTCTGGAGGAACTGGAATCTCAGTATTGTCCTGATCTGCAATGATCTATCCTGGTAAGCCAGCAGTAGCTTTTTGGTGGGGTAATGGATGAGCTCAGCAAGCCTACACCTTCTGGCCAAGACCAGACTCATTTGACCTACAGCCGTCAGGGCACTTTCCTGGGGCCTGAGCCTAGGTAGTGGCCACTCTGAGTTCTGGGCTCAGCCAGCCCTTCTCCGTGATGGTTCTTACCCAGTTGCTGTCTGGTGCAGGATGATTGAGCCTTTAGCTCTCACTGCCAGCTAATGTAGTCCTTCATGTCCACTGTTCCCCTCCACTGCTACATTTTTCTGTGGAGACTTCTAAGGTTGCCAACACTTAGTGTGTGTCCAGGTTTTGAACTGTTCCTCTCACGCAATGAATCCTGTTTCAGGGAGAAGGTACCTTTAGCTACCTCCTCCTTTGAAGTTTTTTCACTTTCTGTGGGCCTCACTTCATGCTTCAGATCTTTCCTGGGTTCAGGGAACCCACTTCTTTCTGGTTTTCCTTGTGTTGCTATATTCTAGCATCTGGACAGTGCCTCTCAGGCTTTCTCTGCTGCTTACCATTCTGCCATCCTGGTGATCTCTCAAGTACAGTCTTAAAATAACTTAAAATAATTTTATCAGCTACAGACAGTCTTATAATAGCTGATAGGTTGCTTCAGAAAGGAAAATCTTAAAGATTCATGTTGCTGTCATTTTTGCGTTTCCTTACTTTGTTTGTTTGTTTGGTATAGGGTCTCTTTACACAGCTTGGACTTGTAGTGATCCTCTTGTCTCAGCCTCCCCAGTGCTGAGATTATAGGCGTGTACCACCATGCCCAGTTTCAGTGGCCGGCACAGTGTGCCTGGGGTTCTGGGGCCAGCATAGCATGCAATACCGGGGATCAACTTGGGTCCTTGCACTTGGCAGGCAGGTGCTTAGACTACCGAGCTTTCTCCCCAGCCCTGTTAATAGTCTTTGAAAAATGTTAACTAGAGAATTTGGGGTAGTCTGCTTCTGACTTTTTTTGATATTTTGTGTGCATCTAAACTTTTGATTCTTTTCATTTTGAAATGAGGCTTCTGTGTGCAGTTAATAAGCTGGATAGTATATCAGCTTATTTTACTAGTAAGGGCTTATGATTTGTGGGAGACCAAATGAATTTTTAGGGTTCTGAAAGTGGTAATTTAATGTAGCAAATTTTCATAGAATTGAGGTCAGAGAAAAACAGGGAAATAAAGGTGAGGGGCAACATACAAAGATGGTGATGGACTGAAAAAAAGCAAATGCTATAAGGCATATTAGTGATATGTTGTGAAGAAAAGCATACATGAAGAGTACTTCAAATTTAGAGAGATGTGCAGCCTTTGATAGCTCAGCCTGTAGAGCATAGGATTGTAGGCAGATATTTGTGGAATTTGGAGAGGTGGGTTCCTTCCAGATGGCAGTAGGAGAAAGCTTTGTGGAGGATGTATTATCCATCTAGTCCTTACAGGAAAGCAGTTTGATGAGAAAATACTTCCTTACCTCAGACTGGAGTAGGTATGAAAGTATGTGGAGGACACAGGATGACTATGAGAATATTTGATGACTTCCATTTTTATTTATTTAGTTTTTGGTACCAGGGATCAAACTCAGGAATTTGTACTTGCCAGGCTGCTGAGCTATCTCTTTAGCCTTTATTGACTTTCAGAGTGCTGCATAAATGTAATGTGGTGTTCACCTGAATTGAAATGGTCAAATGTATGTGATCCAACAAAAATGTTACTAATTCATTCAAATATTACAGTATATTTTGTTTAACATTCTGGGTCTATTAAAGTAATTCTGAGCACTCTGCTTTGGCAGTGACTGTTGAAGTGAAGGGTCCCTATGGATATCTCACACTTGAAGACTATCCTCTGATGATTGTAAGTAAATGTATTTTGAGTTTTTTTGTGTGTGATTTTTTTTTTTTTTAAATATGAGTCTTGATATATGACCTTGACATTTCTTGAACTCACTGTATAGTAGGCTGGTTGCAGACTTGGAATCTTTCTGCCTCAGCCTCCCAGAGGACTAGGACTATAGGGACACATCACCATGTGTGGCATGACTTTTTATGTTTAACTTTAGCATTACATGAGTTTAGTTTAAAAGCTTTCCCCAGTTTTCTGTTTTCTGGCAATATGGTTTTTTAAAGTATTATTCCCACACAGTTAAAATGTTCCTTGAAGTTCCAGACTTCTCACTAGACTGTGATGTTGGCAATTAGTGTCTCTCTTAAGTCTTGTTTTTTAACCAGTAAAATGAGGTTAATATTGCACCGATTTTGGACTGAGGAGGTACAGAGATTCTCTCTTCCATTTTACATTCTCACAAGGCATATCTTGCTGGAAGCTTGTAGTTTCTGAGCCCTTTAAAGTAATGAAATGGCTGTGCTTCCTCCTCTTCACTGTGTGGATATCAGAGAAGTATTGCTATGTCTGAAAATATCCTCTGTTTTCAGGCTTGCCTTATTCATAGTTGTTCTCATTCCTTTCACTTTGAGAGTTTTTCCACTGTTGTTTTGTGACTGCTAGATGCATCCATATCCTGTTGTGCCTTTTTTTCCCCTCTTCCATGTTGTCTTCACTTAGAATTCAACCTAATTTTGGGGCTATAAGGTGAAGAAGTTATCAATATAGAGAAGCAGTCACTCTTAAGGATGAGTCCTTGTGTAGTCTATCTCTGCTACAGAGACTGTTCTTTATATTTGCTAATAACTCCAAAGATACAATTACTGGTCAAGGAAAAGGTAGAATATGTGCTGTATAGATACTTGGCTCCTGGCTCTAATTCTCTGTTTTGTCTCTTACCATTGGGTAACAGTTCTTCATGGTGATGTGTATCGTCTATGTCCTGTTTGGTGTTCTGTGGCTGGCATGGTCTGCCTGCTACTGGAGAGATCTTCTGAGAATTCAGTTTTGGATTGGTGTTGTCATCTTCTTGGGAATGTTTGAGAAAGCTGTCTTCTATGCAGAATTTCAGAATATTCGCTATGAAGGAGAATGTGGTATGTAATACGTATTTGCCACTTTCTGGAAGTAATGTTTTTTTGAAGAATAGTTCCTGGGGCTGAAGCTATAGCTTAGCAGCACAAGTGCCTGCCTGGCAAGTGCAAAGTCCTGAGTTCAATTCCCAGTATTAAAAAAAAAATTGATCGTGAACAGTTGAGAAAATGTTCCTTGAAGTTCCAAATTTCTCATTAAACTGTGACCTTGACAGAGTTAGTGGCTCTCTTAAGTGTTTTTTTTTTAACCTATAAAATAAGGTCATTGATATATGAAAATTTTCATAAGGTTAGCAGTCATTAAAGAGGTTTACATTTTCAAATAGATATTAAAATAACTTAAGCAGACTCACTTAAGATTGTGACTTAAAATTTCTATTTATTTATTTTTGAAATTTCATAAATTACAGGTTTTGTGATATACAAGTAAGTTTACTGAAATATGCTTGCCAGAGTTAAAGTAGTGGCCATTTTGGGAATGGTTATTACCATCATCAGATCTCAATCCCACTGGGGTATATATCACCATTACTCTGTATATTTCAAGAAGAAAGTAAATAATGTCAATTTGAGTATAAGATACCTTTGATTTTAACTTTTTTATTTATTTGGCTGTCTTACTATCTAGTTCAGGCTGATCTGAAACTCCCGGTATAGCCCAGGTTGCTCTTGAACTCACAGAGTTCCTCTTTTCTGAACCTCCCAAGTGTTGGGATTACAGGCCTGCACCATCACACCTGCCATAAATCTTGATTTTAAAGATCTCAGTGAATCTAGGAATTGATAAAAATACAATAGTACCAGCTGGGTGTGGTGGTGCACACCTGTCATCCCAGCACTGGGAGGGCTGATGCAGGAGGATTTTTTTGAGTTAGAGGCTAGCTGAGGCTATATAATGAGTTCAAGCCTGAACTATAGTAAGACCTTATTTCAAAAAGAAAGAAAATAGAAAGCTTGTGGTTTAATAAACTGATTATAAAAGAAATTCTTCCACTGGGAGGAATGTATGCAATGTGTTAATTATTGAAACTGTCCTACCAATTTGGTTTGAAACTGTCTCATTGCTATTTGTTTATCAATAAAATTATGGAAAAAAATAAAAATTAAAAATAAATTCTTTTGTACTGAAATTGCTTCGGTTCCTTCTCATCTGACTGAATATTAGTAATTATTGCTTTAAGTTACATTAGATGTTTTTCATGTCTTTGAGAGGGTTTTGAAATAGTATATATGAACATGAAAATCATATACATGCATCTCTCTCTCTCTCTCTCTCTCTCTATATATATATATATATATATATATATATATATATGTTTTGTGCTTTTCTATGTATAGCTATACACTTCATGGCTTGTAGAAATGGTAGGGAAACTCCCTGATTGCCAGTGAGGTCTTGTGTAAAAGTTTTAGTGAAGTTGGGAGTGGGTAGGGTGGTCGATGAACACACTGAGATCATGTCTGTAGGTAAGATTGCAGGTGGTGTCAGCTTTTGTGCTTTTAACAATTGAGTATTTGTTTTAGTAGGGTGAACCCCAGTGTTCATTCTAAAGTGTTGGTGATTTATGTTTTGGCATTGGAATTCAACCTTTTATTAAGCTTAAAATATAGCACCCTTTCTCCTTTTTGTCTTCCTCATAGTTCAAGGAGCCTTGATCCTTGCAGAGCTGCTTTCAGCAGTCAAACGTTCTCTGGCCCGAACCCTGGTCATCATAGTCAGTCTGGGATATGGCATAGTCAAGTGAGTATTAGTATTCTCTCTGAGAGAGCTAATTAAAATACTGACTGAATTGAAACCCTGTTTCAAAATTCCCAATGTCATAATTTTGGGAGAGTTGACAATCAAGAAGGTGATTATCATTTTTAGGAAAGTTATTTGAAATGTTGTAGCATTGTAAGTATTGGAAAAGGACTGGGTCAGGGGGCGCAGCACATTTGTAGGGAGACCTGCAATGTAGCAAGTAATGTCAAAACATTAACTCTTAGAGTACATTTAAGTGATTTTTCCAAAATATTTTTCCAAGTCAAGACTTTTTATAGGAACAGTAGTTGTGTTGAAAAGTATTCTTTTTGTTTTCCCAGAAAATTTTTATTGAGTACCCTGTATATGGTAGGTATTTTTTTTAGATCCTGGGAAAACAGAAAGTAAACAAAGGATTTGCAGTTTACATTTGCAGTTTTATACAGACATACTTAAGCTGAATATAAGTCAGTGAAAAGTACATTGGAGTAGAGAAAGAGTAAGGTGACTGTGTGCTAGGCTGGAACTCTCAGTTCATGAGGTTATCAAGGAAAGCTTTGCTTAGTGACATTTAATCAAGTACCTGAAGGAAGAAGGAGCTGAGATGTGATCAGATTCAAAATGTGCTTTGAAGTTAGAGCCAGTGGAAGGTCCTGTGAATGAAATGTGTACTGTGAAACACAGTGGGCACAAAGGATGATGCTGTTTTAATCTGATGAAGTTTCAAGAAGAAATTGACATTTACTGGATTCAAGAAGCACTTAGATAGTATAGATTTGGGTAGGGCAGGATTAGGAGTTCCGCTAGACAGCAACATGGAGGAGGTAAGGGAGAAAGGTTGGGGCAGAGATACTAAGTTTAGGCCCTATTGAGATTCACATGTTTTTTAAAGTCAGACTGGATTTGGCCACCAAGAAAGAGTTTATAAAGAAGACACCCAAAGTCTGAGCTCTTGAACATTTGTGACATTAAATACAGCTAATAGAGAAAATCAAAGATCAAGCAGTGTGGTGGGAGGTGAACTGAAGATTGTGTTCCAAGGAGTGATTGTGTCAGGTGCTGCAGATAGGTCATGTAAGGTGATTGAGAAGTACTCATGGGGCTTTATTGCATTTGCTAGCGACTGTACAAGAGCAGTTCTAATGAAGTGCTAGGTACTGGAACAGAAGTCCAGTTGGAGGGACTTCAACTGAGAATAGGAGGGTGTTGGAGATTAGAGTGATTGTGAAGGATATTAATTCTTTTTAAAAAAATAATATTAATTCTTAAAGTACATTTATTCATTTAACAAATACATGCTTCCTGTGCAGCAGGAAATATTCAGTGTCTAAGATTTAATAGCAGAAGGAAACTTTCCATGCCTTGAAAAAGCTTGTTTTTTTCTAGTACATAACAAAAAAGACAAGAACAAAAGGAAAAACAGTTTAGTCAGGTGTGAGTTAAGCCAGTGCAATTTATTTCACACTATACTACCATAATAATCACTTGGTGATTCAGTAAGATGTGTGCCCTTGCACATGTGTGTGTGTGCCTAGGATTTGAACACAGGGTCTTGCACTATCTAGGCAAGTGCTCTACCTCTGAGCTACATCTCAGCCCCATTTTATTTTTTTTATTAAATTTTTTAAAAAAATAGTACTGCTTGCTTTCAAAAAAAAAATTTAACCTTTTATTTATTTGGTACAGGGTTTAGCTACACAGCTTAGACTCATAGTCATCCTCCTGTCTCAGCCTTCCTAGCACTGGGATTACAGGCCCAGTTTCAGGGCTGATACAGTGTGCCCAGGGCTGGCATGGCATGTGGTACCAGGAATTGAACCCAGGTCTTTGTGCTTGGCAGGCAGGCACTTAGACCACCGAGCTATCACCCCAACCCTCCCCCCCTTCTAAATTTTGAGATAAGATTGAAGTACATTGCCCAGGATGGCCTCAACTTTTGATCCTCCTATGTCAGCCTCCAGAGTAGCATTACACCTTGCCTTGCTAGGATTTTTTAGTTAAGAATTTAAAACTTCTTTCAAACAAAAGTTACTTAAAAGGCCTTTCATATATCATTACACTTTGAGCTTGCAAATGTACCATTTGTTTAATGAACTACAGTAGAATATTTGATTATATTAAATAATTAAAAATTTTAGATTTGATAATATAGCATATTTTAAAGCCTACTTTGTTTTTTTAAAAAAACATACTGAAACATACAAATAAAAGGGTATACTGTATGCGACCTGCTTCCAGATAATATGAAAGGTCGGAAAAGAATGGGGTATACCTGCAGCAGCACTAAGGGGAGGTTGGTAGTTGTTCAGACTAGGTGATGTGTTTGTCTATAGGGGTTTGTTTTATTGCTTTTGAATGTTTTAAAAACTCTGTAATAATTTTTTTCTTAAAGATGTATAAGACATATAACCAGAGACTGGGTAGTAAGTTCTAATACTTTTTTCTTTATTTGGTCATGTTGGGGATTGAAACCAGTGTCCTATATGAGCTAGGCAAGTGCTTCATCACTGAGCTACATCCTAGCCCTTTTGATTTTTTAAAAATTTTGGGGCAGCATCTTACCAAATTGTCCAGGGTGACTGAATTTGTGATCCACCTGCCTCAGCTTCCTAAACTACTGGGATTATAGGAATGAGCCACTGTATCTGGTTCCCTTATGTTCTCAGCTGAATTGTGTGTATTTATCATAAAACTGTTGACCTGCACTAACATAAGTCGCTATTACTTAGCTTGTTGAGCATTTTGCTTCCTGTATACTCACTGTCTCTTTGCTTTCCTTTTTAGGCCCCGCCTTGGAGTCACTCTTCACAAGGTGGTAGTGGCAGGCGCTCTGTACCTTTTGTTCTCTGGTATGGAAGGAGTTCTCAGAGTTACTGGGGTCAGTACTGCTTAGCCTGCATTTTTATGATCAGTTCAGTTGTCTTGGTTCTGTCTTTAGACTGTGCAGGGTGCATTGGAATTGTTAATGTTCTTTACTGTTGCTTCTATAGCCTCTAAGTTCTGATTTTCAAACTGTGTGTACAGATTAAGTATCCCTTTTATTTTTAAAATTTTTAGTAGTGCATGTTTGTGGGAGTTGACATACGTACATGAAACATCCTAATGTGATATATGTACATGAAACATCCTAGTGTGATATATGTACATGAAACATCCTAATGTCCCCTTCCTCTCTCCCATTCTTACGTCCCCTCCTTACCTTCCTCCCTCCTTCAAGATTATCCTTTTTTTGAGATGCTTGGCATCAGAAGTGTTTCAGGTTTCAAAATATTTCAGGTTTTGGAATATTCACATGGATTTTACTAAATAAATATTCCTAACCCAGAAATACAGAAATGCTGCAAAGCCTTTTTTTTTTTTTTTTTTTTGGTCTGGGACAGGGTCTCACTATGCAGTTCAGACTTGTAATGTTCCTCCTGTGTCAGTCCCCCAGTGCTGGGATTATAGGCGTGCGCCACCATGCCTGGTTTTGGGGCTGGCACAGCATACCCAGGGACCTGGGGCTGGCACAACATTCAGTACCAGTTATCAAATTCAGGTCCTTGGCACTTGCCAGGCGGGTGCTTAGATTGCTGAGCTATCTCCCCAGCCCAGACCTATATAGATTTAATGTGTGATACAGAATAAATGCTTCTCCACCTATTTCCAGATTGATAACTATTTAGTTTCTTCTTCCATGGGATGAACTCCATTTTTCAATAAGGGACATGCATTGGACTAGGGACTTACTGGTTAATCTAAAGTGTCAGTGCTCTTTGTTTATGTAGCACTTGAGTTTTTAAATCTTCCTTAAAATGCAGCTAATTAAATTTTATGCTATACTTGAAAATTACATTTCTCTTGCTAGGAAAAGAAACAAGGATCTAAGTGATAAAGTATGTTAGAAGTGGATTAATGTGTAATAATAGATCTCCTTGGGCCATTCCAATTAGTATTGTATTTATCTAAAAGGCAGATTTTGCGATAACTTCTTAGATTCATGTTGATAAATTCTGTAATTTGACTTTGCCCTCAGAACTTAAGGTTTTTGTTTTTGAGACAGTGTTTCACTATGTGGTTTAGTGAGGCCTTGAACTTATGTAGCTCAGGCTACCCTCAGACTTGCTGTGGTTCTCCTGCCTCAGCCTTCTGCATGCTGGGATTATAGGAGTGCAATACTACTTATCATTAAATTTTACAATAAATTTCTCCATAATAAAAATCACTTAGGGATTGCAGTTGTATGTTTTAAACCACACTGTCCTCTGTATGTAATCAGCTTAGACTTTGAGCAACTTTAACCCTCATATTAATTTTTTTTTTCTTTCTTCTGCTGATGCTGTAGTATTTTTCTTATTCTTTGGCTTCAATACTAAACCTGGCCCTCTCAGCAGTTGATGCCTGTATTATTTTATGGATATCCTTTCAACAATGTTTTGATGATTGCATTATTTGGGTTACATAAGAAGCATCCTATATAAATTTGTGGAAATTAACAAATAAGTTTTGGAGAGAGATAATTGCTTTTTTATTTCAGGGTGAGCTATTTGTAAAGTTTTATTTTTCTACAGTTTGGGAATTCAGTATTCTTAGTACACTAACTATTGACACAGTAACCAGATAGATTTTATTTGGTTTGTATTGTAGATAACAATAAGAGGAACTCTGGATGGGATAGAGGTTATAAACATTAGAACTTTTTTGATGTCACCTCTTACATGAGTCGTAGTATATTCTCGAAACTCTAATATTTAGCGATTTCATTGTATTGAGATTATAAATTGCAGTTTGCATAAAACACTTGTGTGTTCCAGGTGAACACTTACAAGAAGGGAAGAATGATTAGATGTCAAGCGTTAGTCATATTTTTTTTTTTTTTTTCCCAGTTGAAATGCAAAGCTATTCCAGATGATTATGTAAAATAAATATAGAATCTTGCACTGATTTCTTCTGTGTGCCTTTCTAGCAGTCTGTTTTTCAACTGCCTCTTTTTCTTTGTCTGCAGGCCCAGACTGATCTTGCTTCCTTGGCCTTTATCCCCTTGGCTTTTCTAGACACTGCCTTATGCTGGTGGATATCCTTCTTATTGGCTTATTTGATGTGCTGTATTTTCTTCTCTTGGAGATGGGTTTTTGCTAATCTTTCTGAAGAATTTTTTCCAGTTTTGTTGATGTCTTCTTGATCTGGGAAATAACTGTATAATATTTTTAGTGTTAACAACTTGAGTGTTAAGGTAAGCAATTTTTGTTCTTTTAATTTTTAAAATCAAGAGTTTGTAATTGTGGACTGCCTGCAAGTTAAGTGTTCTGGCTTTTTTCTCTCTTGAGCACTTCACATTGATTTTTGATGATTATTTTTGTACCTTGGGTGTTAGAATCATTGGTTCCTCTTGATTCTGCTCTACTTAGCTTCCTGCAGTTACTAAGAGCTTTGAAACTTACAAAAAGGGGTTGATCCTTAAAATGTGATTTGGTTCTTTTGAAACTCTTTGAGTAGGTTTAGCAGGTTTTAATCTTTGCAGGGTATTTTGTTCCTTTAATCAAAAGCTGACTTTGCACTGATTTTGCTACCCTTCACAGTAAATTACTGATTCATTTGCATGCAAGGTCAACTGCTGATAAACAATTTTTAGTTGAATATTCTTTTTCCTTCCACTTTGAATATTAAACATGTTATGGGTCAACTCTGCATAGGAACCAGATCAGCCAGATAGAGATTTGAATAGAGCCTTTTATTTACTGAGCTCAGGTCCGTCAGCCACTTCTCTCACAGGAGAAGGCTGATCGGCCCCAAACGTAGGTAGCAAGGGGGTATTTATAACAGAAATCACATCTAGTTTGGTAAGCAAACTTGTTATCTAGTACAGAACAACAGAAA